AAAAACAGAAATAAAAGAATCACATCAGAGAATGAAATTAAATAAATAAATAATTTTTTTAAAGTAAAATACATTTCCATTAATGCCTAGGCAATGAATAGTCCATTAAACAACCAAGGTGACAGGGAAGCTCAGAAAGAAAATAAAAATCTTCAGAAAATAAACTTATAAATATAGAAATGTGCAATTTAAATGGTAGAGAATTTATAACTGCACTTCCGAAAAAAGGAGATGCAAAAAAAAATCTGATCCACAGTTCCAAGAACTTAGAAACAAAATCAAGATACAACAGGAATACTCTATCAATGAGGCTGAAACTCTAAAAAAGAACCAAATAGAACCTCTGGAGATGAACTCATTAAAAAGATGAAGAATGAAGTAGCAAGCTTAAGAAATACAGATGACCAGATGGCGGAAAGAATTAGTGATTGACAGAAATCTAGTAATGATGCAGATGGAAGAAGCGAGAAACAAAAAGAAGTTTAACTTTGGGTGGTGAACACACAACACGATATATTAATGACATATTATTGATTAGTATACTTGAAACCTATTGGATTTTATTAACCAATTTTACCCCAAAATTTTTAATAAAAAAAAAAGACTTCTCAAGACAGCCAGGGAAAAGAAGAAGGTAATCTATAAAGGAAATACTATTAGTTTGTCATCAGAATTTCTAAACAGAAACCCTACAAGCTAGGAGAGAGTGGAATCAAATATTCAAACTATTGAAAGAGAGAAATTATCAGCCAAAAATGATAAATCCAGCAAAGTCTCTCTTAGATACGAAGGAGAAATAAAGACTTTTGCAGACATTCAGAAGCTGAGGAAACTTTCCACCACAAGACCTGAATTACAGGAAATACTGAAGGAAGTTATTCTACCAGAATAAAAGAACAAAAGGATACAAAACTATGAGTAAGACAAAACTATGAGCAACCGTTATTCAGCGTAGGGTAAAATACACCTAAACCTTGCATTAATTGCAAAGGAGAATGAAGATAAGCTGCATTACAAGAAAAAAACTACTGCACATTTGAAACTTTCTTTTACATAAACTTAATGGTAAATGTACACAACAACAACAACAAAATAAGAACTGAGACATATAAAAAAAGAGAACAGAGGAAAAATCATAGACCACCACCAAACTAAAATAATAGAAATAAACACAAGGGCAAAGAAACAATGGAGACACTGAGCTATCAGAAAACAAAAGATAAAATGGCTATAGGAAATCCTCATACATTAATAACCATCCTAATGTAAATGCACTGAACTCAACAACAACAAAAGGCACAGAGTAGCAGTTTGGATCAAGAAACAAAACCCAGCCATATGCTGCCTTCAGGAGACACATCTCAGCTCCAAGGACAAATATAGACTTAAAGTGAAGGGGTGGAAAACGATACTCCAAGTAAATGGCATCCAGAGTAAAGAGGGTGTAGCCATACTTATATCTAACGAAATAGATTTCAAAATAAAAAAGATAACAAGAGACAATGATGGACACTTCATAATAATAAAGGTGACAATACATCAAGAAGACATAATACTTATTAACATATATGTACCCAATCAGGGAGCACCAAAATATATAAAGCAACTACTAACGGAACTAAAGGGAGAAACTGACAAAAACATAATTATAGAAGGGGACTAAAATACAATACTGTCAGCTATGGATAGATCATCCAAACAGAAAATCAAAAAGAAAATATCAACTTCAAATGACACATAAGACCAACTGTACATAATCGGCATTTACAAAGCCTTTCATCCCAGAATACCAGATTTACATTCTTTTCTACGTGCATAAAGCATTCTCAAGGAGAGACCATATGTGGGGACCAAAACTAGCCTCAGCAAATTTAAGAAGACTAAAATCAAAGCAAGTATATTCTCCAACCAAAATGCTTTTAAACTGGACATCAACTGCAAAAAGAAAGCAGGAAAAACCACACTTATGTGGAGATTTAACAACATTCTACTAAAGAATGACTCAGTCAAAGGAAAAATAAAAAGAGAGATCAAGAGATAATTAGAAACAAATGAAAATGAAAATACAACACAACAAAAACTTTTTGGATACAGCAAATGTGGTAATAAGTGAGAAGCTTATATAATTACAGGCCTTACTCTAGAAACAAGATTGGTAGAGCCATACGGAAAATAGTATGGAGGTTCCTCAAAAAATTAAGAATAGAATTACCATATGATCCAGCAATCCTGTTTCTGGGTCTTTATCCAAAAAAGTTGCAAACATTTACCCACAAAATAGATATGTGCACCCTGATGTCTTAGCACTATGCATTATTAATAGTGATCATCACATGGAAACAACTGAAGTATCCTTCAATAGATGAGTGGATAAAGAAGATGTGGTACATACATACAGTGGAATATTACTCAGCCATTAAGAAAAGATGAAATACTGCTATTTGCAACAACATGGATGGATCTCGAGATTATCATTCTAAGCAAAATAAGCCAGACAGAAAAAGTTGAAAACCATATGATTTCACTCATTTTGGGGAAATAAAATTGAAAGCAACAAATGAACAAGACAAATGAACAAAAACTCATATACACCGACAACAGTTTAATGGTTAGTAGAAGGAAAGAGGGAGGAGTTAAATAAGGGTAAAGGAGGTCTAATGTATGGTGATGGAAGGAGATTTGACTTTGGGTGGTGAACACCCAATGCAATGTACAGATGATGCATTATTGAATTGTATACTTGAAACCTATGTAATTTTATTAACCACTGTCACCCCCAAGAAATTTAAAAATTAAAAAAAGAAAACAGTTTGGTGTTTCCTAAAAAAATTAAAAATAGAACCATCATATAAATCAGCAATTCCACTTCTTGGTATATATTTGAAAAAATTGAAATCACTATCTCAAAGACATATTTGCACCCATGTTCATTGCAGATTATTCACAATAGCCAAAATATGGAAAAAACCTAAATGTCCATCAATAGATGAATGGATAAAGAAATTGTGATATATGCGTATGTATGTGCAAAGATAGATAGATATGTATCTCTATCTCTATCTCTATTTATACTTATATATCTATCATCTATCTCTATCTCTATCTATCTATATCTATATCTATATCTATATCTATATCTAGATCTAGATCTATCTCTCACAAACAACACACAAACATGGATGAAACAAGGGCATTATGCTAAGTAAAATAAATTAGACAGAGAAAGACAAATACTGTATAATTTCAATAATATGTAGAATCTAAAACAACCAAATTCAGAAACAGAGAACAGATTGGTGGTTGCCAGGGTTGAGGACTGTGGGGCAGGAATGAGTGAAAATGGTCAAAGGGTATAAATTTCCAGTTTCTGGAATACAGTGTACAGCATAGTAAATATAATAAATAATCCTGTATCATATATTTGAAAGTTGCTAAGAGACTAGATCTTAAAGGTTCTTATCAGACACCCACACATAAATAGTAACTATTTGAGAGAATGGATGGTTAATCTTATCATGGCAATCATCTTCCAATACATACATATATCAAATCATTACACTGTAGACTTTAAACTTATATAATGTTATAACATGTACATACCAGAACTGATTTTAAATATGTCTAATCTGTCAATGGTAATTTGCTTCATTGTAGATGCTACTAAAAGTTAACCAACACACAAACTGGTCAATACAAAAATAATAGTGCACACTTCTTTTTCTGAAGCACTCTCAAGTTAGTTCCCGTTCCTATTTTTTATATAACTTGTGGTAAAAGGACTATAACTCTATAGTACAGGCTCATTCTCACTTTCCTCAGAAAACAATAGATTATGAATATTTGATAACTGTTTCTTTCTACAAATAATCAGCAATCACTTCTTGGTATATATTTGAAAAAATTGAAATCTCTATCTCAAAGACATATTTGCACCCATGTTCATTGCAGATTATTCACAATAGCCAAAATATGGAAAAAACCTAAATGTCCATCAATAGATGAATGGATAAAGAAATTGTGATATATGCGTATGTATGTGCAAAGATAGATAGATATGTATCTCTATCTCTATCTCTATTTATACTTATATATTTATATTTATTAATAAATAATCCTGTATCATATATTTGAAAGTTGCTAAGAGACTAGATCTTAAAGGTTCTTATCAGACACCCACACATAAATAGTAACTATTTGAGAGAATGGATGGTTAATCTTATCATGGCAATCATCTTCCAATACATACATATATCAAATCATTACACTGTAGACTTTAAACTTATATAATGTTATAACATGTACATACCAGAACTGATTTTAAATATGTCTAATCTGTCAATGGTAATTTGCTTCATTGTAGATGCTACTAAAAGTTAACCAACACACAAACTGGTCAATACAAAAATAATAGTGCACACTTCTTTTTCTGAAGCACTCTCAAGTTAGTTCCCGTTCCTATTTTTTATATAACTTGTGGTAAAAGGACTATAACTCTATAGTACAGGCTCATTCTCACTTTCCTCAGAAAACAATAGATTATGAATATTCGATAACTGTTTCTTTCTACAAATCGGCTCCTCCCAAACATATAATGAAGATTTGGATGCAAAAACAAAATAGTTACCTTAAAACAGAAAAAGAAGTAATAAATGTCTCTTAATAAAAAAACATATGAATATATACTAATTATTAATTTTGAGAAAAGTAGCTAAATAATTAACATTAAAAGTGCATTGAATATATAATAGTGATACAAGCATACCACTTTACATTTCACAAAGGCCAAATATGTTTTTTAAAAATAATATATTATGATCAATTCAATTTATGTGTTCTATTTTTAAAGCAATTATATAGTTTAATTTTTATGCTCAAATTAGTAATGTAAAAAACTATTAAAGAATGAGTAAATTAAGTAATATATTTATTCATGTTTTAAAATATTTAAGAAATTTTGAAAAATTAAAATAATGAAAGCAAACTGGATAATAATTACATACCAGAGCTACTCCTGCAGCATAATTCTTGTTACATATTTTTCCAGGAAATGTGGCTCCTATAAAACTAAGTTGTTTCTTGAAGCTAAAAAAATAAGAACTTTCCTCATAATTTCATTTAAGAGTGGTATCATTGTTGATAAAATTTTCATACCAACAAACATTATTGAACAATTACAATGTCCTAAGCACCATGCTACTCTGAATTAAGCTATAAGTACATTTTTCTCATACCTATAATGTTAAGAATATTTAATATACAATTTTAAATTTGGTTATTTGATAAACATCCAGAAGCATAATGAGGATAAGGCCTAACAGCTATGCAAAATTCAACTGCACTAATGGTTATAGCTTTTATTTGGGTTCCCTCTACATTTACAGCCCTGAAAATTCAATTTTCTTTGATTTCCTTATTCGTTTAATCACTAAAAATGAACAGATTTTTTTGTGCATTAGATTCTAGATAGTGTAACAATTCAATATACTCATGTTATCAGAAAATAAAAAACATAAGAATTAATCCTGAGAGATAAGATGTAGAGATAATAAGTAGTAAATGTTTATAAACCAAGCAACTTATAATGCATCACTCAGAACTAATCTCCTTTAGCTATTTCAATATTTTTATGTAACTTCATTTTTATCAAGTAATATGTCAGTTGATAAAAGTTTTTAAATCTTGCCTCACATTAGCTTCTTGAGGACAAGAACTTTAACTTACAATTTTTTCCCCATCCCAATCGTGTCTACTAAATTTGAAGAATACAGTATATATTAAGTAAATGCTTATTTTTCATAATTAACATATTAAATCATTTTGGATTATTTCTTTACTGCTATACAAACACAGACTACTATACTCACGCAAGTAAGTATGCAGCATGATAAGGTCGAAAGATATGTCTCAATTTCCATTCTAAAAATCTAAATAATATATGATTAGGATTTCCCATAGTAGAAATTTTGTTTTTATTTGACCAGATTTCTATGGAAGATATGACAACAGTCAGTTTTAACTGAGTAAGCATCTAAAAGGAGAAGATAAATAAAAATTTTTAAATAAATTTAAACATTATGTTTTACTTTTATAAAAATACATTTAAGACATATAATTCAATATTTTGATTATGGAAACTCTTCAACAGCATAACCAAATACTAAAAACATCAACACATACTACATATACTTTTATAAAATATATAAACAAAATAGTTTTTTTAAACTTACAGTGTTGACAAAGCCAATTATCTGAATAACCTTCTGTGTTACAGCCTTTATATCAGAGCCCATGTAATCAAACTGAAAAAAATAAGTTATTTTTAAAAACCAGTGGATGTCATTAACATATCACATATCCTTTATGTGTACAATATACAATATTCTAAAATAGAGATAGAACTACATTTCAATTGTAACTCAAGAAATGAATAATGATGTATAAGTAATGATTTATAAAATAAATTAATTTATATAATAGAAATATTTAATAACATAATTTTAAACAATATTTAATGCACTCAAATTGCGTCATTATTTATTATTAAAACTTAATCATAACTTTTTTAAATGTAGAATTTTAAAATACTTATTCTAAAATAATACATATAATTGCAAACCAAAAAATATATGCATAAGCCTTAATGAGAGGTTCACTGTTAGGCAAGATCTATTTTTTATTTTTGTAAGTTTATTTGCTAAGTATTCATTTTCTTTTTAATATTCTATCCTTAATGAGAGGTTCGCTGTTAAAGGGATTCTAGATAATGTGTTCAGATACATCCTTTGATGTCATAATGCAACTTGTGTTCTAATTTTTTCTTAATTTCAATAAGCTCTTTCAATGTCTAATTGCTTTAAAATTCCAGGACAATATTAAATACCAAAGGTACATCAGGTATGTGAACTTTGCTCCTGATTTTTAATTGGAAAACCTCAAATATTTCATCAAGTGGTGTTCCATTTAAGGGGAGTATTCTAGATCATGTTGAGAAACACCAATTTAAAAATCTTCCTATTTATTAAAGCTTCTATAAAAATAGTATCGATTTATTATAAGCCTTTTGAAGCAAACCAAAACGATGATTTTTGTCTTTTGACCTATCAATGTAACATATTTCATTAATATTACTTAATGTTAAACAATTATTATATTCCTTGATCAAAATGTTATTTTCTATTAACACAATATCAAAATTAATATAAAATTTTGTTTAGAAGTTTGTAGCATTAAGAAAGTAGGGCCTGTTGTTCAGATTTTTTCATAATGGAGCAAATGAATGTTGCTTAGTAAATAACTACCTAAAACTGTTAATTTCATGTTTTTCCTATGTCCTAGAATTGTAATAGCCTCTGAAGTGTCTTTCTAAAAACATTTTTAAGAATTTTCCTGTAATCTATCTATACCTGACACTGGCCACTGATCCATTCAAATTCTTTTTTTTCCCCAGCCTTTTGAGATATCATTGACATATAACATTGTGTAAACAGGAAATGTACAATGTGATGATTTGATTTAAATTCTTATCTCCTTTGGAGAATTCATCAAATTTGTGCTTCTTTGTATGAACCTTCTCCAAGACCATTATTTATATCTTAATCCTTTTTAATACCATAACAAGTTTTTGCTTAATTATACTTTCTACCCATTTTTCTTTTCAACCAGCTCTTGAATTTACTTATACATCTTAATGTTTCTGTTTATCATCAACTTACACTTTTTATTATTGCCTGTTCTCTGTATATTTCTTATTTTATAGTTTTAAAACTTTAAATTGAAAGCTCCATTTATATATTTTTCATTCTTGCTTTTCTTACAGCAAATTCTTTCAAGAATATTAATTTCCTCTGTGTTTAGTTTTGGTACTATCCTCTGTGGTAGAAATTATTCCTATTTACTGATATTCGGATCTCTTTTAGTTCAGGAACACTTCCTTTCTAAAGATAGGCATGGTCAGTTGATTCACTTTAGTCAATAAGATTAGGGCAAAAGTGATCGTCAGTCACTTCTGAGAGAAAGTATTTCCTTACTGCAGCTCATGTCTCTTTGATATGTTATTTCATTAGCTTCACAATTGGGAAAAAAAAAACTACCAACATAGAAATGCCAAAAAATCTAAGCATTCTGGAGTCCTGAGCCAACACATGGAAGACAGCTGCCCTGGAGAGTCATCAAGATCCACAGTTGACTTTGCATGAATGAAATATAAACTGTTTATACACTAAGATGTTTGAGTTATTTTTTACCATGGCACAACCTAGCCTACTCCAATTAATAAATATCCTTTAAATTTTAAAAATATTGTATAGAATTCATTAATTTCTAGTTTATAGTTCTTTATCTACCTTTCTAAAGTTACTTATAATAGTATTTAATTTTTCCATTTTATTATTTTTGCCTTATCTTTTTTTATTCCTTATTGTTTTAATATGTTGTAATAGAGTTTTGGTTTAGCCATTTTTACTTTTACAAATTTTTTGGTGTTTTCCTTGTGATCTATAGATGATTACCTTTGCATACATTTTCTAAAGATATCTATAGACATTTGAATGTATGTGGCATCCATTCATAAGGTACAAAGGTGAATAAATTTTAGTAAAGCAAGCTGACAAATAATTTGATCTTTATATGTTAACATTTATTTTCTATGTTAAAGGCCAAGAGAAATACATTAATGGGTTCCACTACAATTTTGAGTTTTGTGACCAACGGAACAGAGAGCCCAGAAATAAAGCCTTGCATATTTGTTTAAATGATTTTTTAACAAGGGTGCCAAGATTAAAGACCTAAATACGAGATCTAAATCTATAAAATTCATAGAAGAAAACATATGGGAAAAGCTTCGGGACATTGGTTGGCAATGACTTCTTGGATATGACACCAAAAGCACAGGCAACAAAAGTAAAAATAGACAAATGGCATTAAACTTAAAAACTTTTGTGCGTCATAGGAAACAGTCAATGTCAACCTAAAAAAATGGAAGAAAGTATTTGCAAATTATGTATCTGATAAGGATTTAATATCTAGAATATGTAAAGAACTCCTACGAAACAACAACAACAAAAATCTGATTTTAAAATGAGCAAAGCACTAAAATAGACAATTCTCCAAATAAAATATACAAATGGCCAACAGGCATAGGAAAAGATGCTCAACATCACTAATCATAAAAGAAATGCAAATCAAAGCCACAATGAGATATCACCTCATACCTATTAGGATGACCATACCAAAATATCAGAAAGTAACAAGTGTTGATAAGGGTAAAGAGAAATTAGCACCTCTGAGCACTCTCGATGTGAATGTAAAATAGTATAACCATTATGGAAAACAGAATGGTAGTTCCTGAAAAAGTTAAACAGAATTACCATATGTTTCAGCAATTTGGCTTCTGGATACATATCTAAAAAAAATTCAAAGCAAGATCTTAAAGATATATTTATACATCTATGCTTCCTGCAGCATTATTCACAGTAGCCAAAAGGTGAAAAAACCCAAATGTTCACTCACAAGTGAATGGATAAAGAAAATGTGGTATAAACATACAATGGAGTATTATGCAGCCCTAAAAAGAAGGAAATCTATCTCATACTACAACATGAATGAAACTTAAGGACATTACGCTAAGCAAAACAATCCAGTCACAACAGGACAAATACTGTATGATTACACTCAAATGAAGTTATCTAAAGTAGTCAGAATCATAGAAACATATAGAAGAAAGGTATTGACCAAGGACTGGGGGAGAAAGGAAAGGAGAATCAGTATTTAATGGGCATAGTTTTAAGTTTTCAACACACAAATGCTCTAGATATCAATTGCACAACAATGTGAATACACTTAGCACTACTAAACTATACATTTAAAAATGGCTAAGATGGTAAATATAATGTTATGTGTTTTACTGTAATAAAAAAAATTTATACCGTTCTAATGAACAAAATACAGATACAATCCTAGATCTCTCTGACTCTAAACCATGTACTTACAACTACTAAATCTAATTTATTATGAATCATAGTAAATTCTGTTTTCCTTCAGTAAAAAACAACTAGACAAATAGCTAATTTCATATAGGTGGGCTATTTCAAGAAAAAGCAGTAGGGGAACTTTCTCAGCAAACTTCCTACCAGGCTTCACCAACGCCAGTCAATCCTTACATCTGCCACTCAGTAAACACACAGCAATGTGTGTGTTTAAAAAAAATTAGCAGATACCTCTTGAAGTGTATCCCTATGCCTCTGAAATCTTAACAAAGAACATTTCCTCTGTGAGAATGTTAAATGTTCAAAAGTAATCCTGTAAAAAGAAAATGAAGTCCACAAAATTTTTAAGATAGCTGTGTCAATAAAATGCTACCAGATTAGACTAAAAGTGTCCGAGACAAAAATCCAAAAAGATCTCTGGGCTTCCAACCAAATAAATAATTATTGGTATTAAATTTTGGAGAGGTTTGCTATGCAGTCATAGATTATATTTATTTTAAAAGTGTACTTCATCTGATATTAATCTAGCTAAATAAGTGTTTTAGAATTTTTGTGTTTAAAAAAAACAAAATTTTTATAGTCTTTTACTTTTATGATGTGCCATATTTTAGATATGTCAATTGTAAGCAGAATGTGTTTACATTGCATGATAATCTTTGTTTTGCTTTTAATCTTCGCCTTTGGTTTCTAATTGCAGTGCTTAATCTCTCTACATCTAATAAAATTACTTATATATTTGAGTTGAAATATTAATCTTAAATCTAGCTTTTAAATTTATTCATATTTATGAAACAAATGTTTAATGTTTTTCTTTCCCTTTATTGCCTTCTTTTTGTTTATTATACTTAAAATTCTACTTTTCTACTTCTGATTTCGCTGTAATTTTATAGGAATATGATTTTAGAGTATTTGTTGACTTTGTACTACTTCAACTTAGCTACAATAAAAAAAAAAAACTTTTTAGTGAGCCACACACTTCAATTTTTGTTACCTCTGCCAATATTTAGCTTCGTTTCCCTGCCTAATTTACTTCAGCAATCAAAAGACTCCCTATGGGAAAATATTTTTGTTTTAAAACCTATATATTAAAGTATTAATATATGAATATTTTATGGATCTAAATCTATTATTTTTTTGTTTTGCTAACCCTTGTTCACTAGGGCTAATTTTCTTATGATTTTGAGATCACATATGGCTGATATTAATCTGTGGCAATCCTGCTTGAAGCTATATTCCTCCAAGGAGAAATACCATTTGCTTTCCATCAGGTGCCCTCAGATCTTACCAACCTGGGACAAATGTCTCATAGTTTAGAAACTCCTAACAAAAGCCTCATAGCTTAGAATCTCCTAACCACCTATGTTGTGTTTATTCAAAACTTAAACTCATAAAATATACGAAGTATAGTTGTGAATCCTCAGTATAAGAATTTTGTTCATTTGTTTTTCTGTCATTTAATTTACTTAGAACTTCCTTTGCTTGAAAGAAGTGGCATATGTGTTTTGTAGACAACTTTCCGACTAGGCTGAGGTAGTTAAATATTATTATTGTATACAGGGTTGAGGGTTTGGGAAAATTCTAATTTATAAACTCATTGAGGATGCAGTCCTTCTGCAAAAAGGAAAAATGACAAGCTTTAGAAAATTAAAAGATGCTTTACTTTACAAAAAGAACTAGAGATCCTAAATACAAAATAAATGAATTAACAGAATGGTTTATTCACAATTTTAAGAATTTATTAATTGCATTTATTTTTAAATGCTTTATATTTTTATTACATCATTGAAATCAAGTTAAAGACAAATGTTAAATCATTTTAAAATAATAATGTATAAAAAGGGACCTACCAGATTTTTATCCACAACAATATATATTTCAAGGTATCGAGGAAATAACTTGAAAAATTCAGCTCTCTGAAAAACACACAATATGAGTACTGAGGAATTTCAAAGAAATTTACCTTCTATTGAATTGTATAGAGATAAACTGAGAGACATTTTGCTACCGATTATATATCAAGGCTATTTTCAAATACAAAATTTAGGTACTATTCAAAAAATTCCAGTCCAAAAAGTACCCGTGGTTAAAAAGAATTTTCAAACTGTATGAGAACCCAGGTATCTTCTGATTATAGCAATAGCTGAAATTGGAAATATTAAGTTTAAAACACAAAGCTTTTCTTTTCTTAGCCTTGTGATAATTTTCATGGTAATCGTCCATGTGAGCGGATTTTCTGCTATCAATTATTAGAAAATTATTTTTGGCAAATATCGTTTAGAAAAATATTACTAAAATTATGATCAATGGCATTCACTAGAGCTAAGAATTATATTTATAGCAGTTTATAGGTGTTTGTAGAGGAAGAATTAATCACTTTGCTTTACATGTACCACTGATATTATTCATTTCTGAACTTTCATAAAGCACGGATTTAATTTATAAATCCAGATTACATAATATTTTCAACTAAATAATTAGGCAGTTGAAGAAAAGGAATAATTTACATTAATTATCCAAATGCTCACATATAGGCAATTATCCAAATGCCTATATGTGAATATAGGATTGAAGAAACCAAATTAAGTTTTTGGTTTCTTCAATCTTATATTCACATATCTGTTTCCAAAATACCTAAGTTTTTGCTAAAAATAAGCATAACAAAGAATTCAATCTCATTCTCTATCCATTTTAAAAGTCACGCAGGGCCCTCATGAAAAAGTAAAATAATTTTAAGATTTGCAAGTCACCAAATTTTACTCTCAAAGTATTGTTCATGTCCCAAAATAATACTGAATAAGTTAAAATTAAAAAGTCAACACTTACTTCTGAACTTTTTCTAACTTGATATTCTGAATTAGTATGGCTGTAAGTGTCATTGTCTCCTAAGAGAGGAATATTAGTGTTGTAATCTTTTTCTTCATAAATTACGTGCATGAATCCTGATATAGCCTCCATTGGTTCGATTCCATATGAGATGTTTTTAAACTGCAATGTTCCCCTGAATGTTGAAATAATCAAAGCAATTCTAAAATGATTCTACCAAAACTGTAAATCTAATATTCTAATGAGAAATTTTGGCCAGATTTTTTTACATTTAGAGTCACCTTGGAACTAGACCAGTAATACTACAGGATATATATGGCTTTAAATTATAAATATTCTAAGAGAAATATTTTGATCTTCTTAAGTAAAGCATATTAGTGGCATGGATTCGTGTGCTAAAACAGAATAAGACCCCTTCCTAGGATATAGATTTTCTAAGCCAGTCTATAGAACCTACAGGCACCCTCTTCCTTAGTCTTAAGTCTCTTTCTTCTTTATGAGACATTTGACTCTCCCCTGACACTTAATGTCCTAAATCATTCATTTGTGTGGTCCAAATTAAAGACCCTACTTGCCTAAAAATGATTGGGAGCAGAGTGAAAGTGTTTATAAGATCAAGACATTCTACAATCGTCAATCATTCTAGGAAATTAAGAAATCAGTGAAAATATAAAAAATTGAGGAAACTAAAGATATATGGAGAGACCAATCAACACCCCTACATTCAAAATTGCTCAAAGCCTCAAGCAGAGAATCCTGTCAAAATCAACAAGTAGCCTTCCATAAGAAACAAATACTGACCAGGTGACCAATTCTATTTTATCAGAAATTCTTGCTTATTCCTTAGGGAACTGAAATTATTAAGGTGACTGTAGAACCAGAAAAGATATATGTAGGATCAGCTCATACACTAGCAGGATCTAATACTGGCAAATGAAAGATCTTTAAAATGGCTACAACCTGAGTCCTGAACATGTGTTGAGTGATACAAGAGAATTTGGAAAACCTGCAATATATCCATGGTAACTGCAATCCATCTGAAAAAAAAAAATACACAAAAAAAAACAAATGGATAATTTATTTTAAAAATAGATATCCCAGATATGTCATTTATATTTATTATGTAAGTTACCTTAGTACTTTAATATGAATGGCAATTACCTAATGAAGCTATGCCAGGCAAAAATGAGAACTAGTTCAGATAATTCAGTTTTAGTGAATGTGTAAAATAATATTCCAGTAATTTCAGAATAATTCTATTTTTAAAGAAAATCCAGAATAAGAAATCTATAAGAAATAAAACTTAAGTCTTACCTGTTTTAACAAAAGTTTAGCATGCTGGGTGTCATCTTTGTCATAAGAATAAACAAAAGAACCCGAAGATAAAAATGATCTAGGCAGAAATCACAAAAATGTGCTCAAGTTGTGAAACAGAAAACAAAAAAAAATTCTTCTTCATAATACAAGGTTTCCTTTTACTGGGGAATTTAAAGTAGTGTCAATTATCTTGGCATATCTATTTTCCAAATATCTCTCTGTCATTTACAAGAAATCAAGTGCTGAAGGAAGCATTTTAACTATAGTGACTATGCCAAAATTCATGCTAATAAACAATACAAATTGCTGGAAATAACAAATAGTGAAACAATATAAGTCCCAATTTATAACATAGAATTTTCAAATCTTTGTCTTTATTGCTGATTGATTCCAGATTTTAAACCTGAATCTCCAAATTAAAATGTAGTTAGAACAGAATTTAGAAAGATTTTCTTGGCATTGCTACAAATTCATATTCACTCAGTTTAGCTAAGTATAAAGTTCTTCTCAATAAGCTTGGTCAGAATTTTCTTTCATTCTCTCCAGCAACTATTCAAAAACTTGACACCGCTCCTGTCAATCATCCCACATATCCACCATGTCACCTCACTTTCAGATAACCTATACCCATCCTCACTCCTTATCTTTATTTCCAGAAGATGACCAATTCTTTTGTTCAAAGCAAACCGTTACACTATGCTACAAATCTCATTCTTATATTGAAGACACATACTTTTTTGGTCCTATAATTTCAAATTCTTCTTCTCTACTGTTTTTTTTTATCCTAATTCTATTGTAAAAGTTTATTATCAAGTCATTACCATCCTAAATAACTCCCTTTTGACCCTGTGTCCAACTCTAGCTATTCCCTATATATTTTCAATTTGCAACAGATTTTTATGTAAAGAGTAGTCTAGAAACAGTTTCTCTACTTTGTCAACACTTATTCACGATGAAACTGCTCTGGAAAAGTTTCATAAACACCAGAATGTCAAATCTAAAAGACAATTTAAAAACCATCATTGTGCTGGACTTCTAGCATACATTTTGAAAACGGACTGATAAGTCTAATCACGCATCACTCTCTGCTTCTCTTTCTATCTCCCTGACAATTCCAGCTTGATCTTCCATGTTTTTTTTTGTTGTTGTTCTACTTGTCCCAGAAATAGTAGTCTTTAGCAAGATTCAGCCTTTAGTCACCAGTCTATTTATAAGCACTATATAAGCTCTCATTAAAAAAAATTACAACTAAACTATTGATTACTGCTAAATCTATATCCCTAGTACTAATTTCTCCTCAGAGATTCACATTCCTATATTCATACAACTAATGGTAAAAACCCATTTGGATATCTTACAGGCACTGCAAACTAACCTTACCCTTTCCTCACATAAATATCTCCTTTGTTCATGTTCTTCATTTAATTACACTATAACCTACCTATTTTCTTAAGCAATAACTAAATTATTCAAGTTTCCTCACTGTTTCTAATCACTCTACCAAGTCTGTCTTCAAAATCTATTGAATTTTTTCTTTCCAATGCTATTACCAATATCATATGTTCAAGCCAACAATCATCACTTACCTAAACTATTATATAATCATATAATTAGACATTGTACTCTATGTTTGCCCTCTCAAAAAATAGCCTAAAAGACTCAATGAGCCTATACAAGTACATTCTAGAAACATTTTTGGCTTCCAACATCCTTATCATGGCATGATAGATCTTCTACGACCTGGCTCCTGCCTACCTTTTCAAAATCTTTTACTTGCATCCTCCAGAAAATATGTTCTTTAGTAATTCACACCGACTTTTTGCTCACCACAGGAGCTATTTGGACTCACAATTCAAATGTATATAGGTATCAAATGTCGATTTGAATTGAAATGATTCTATTCATAACTATTTTTAGAAATCAAGAAACCAAAGACTTAGAATTTGAAAGAATAAAATAATTGCTTACTGCTTTTTGAGATGGACAAAATATGGTTTTCCTTCTATTGTAATGATATAAGCCACCTGTAACATGAGAATTCAAAATATTTTCAGTAATACTTGTAAATAATATATGTTAAATAATATTTCCTCTAAGAAATACTTTTAAAATACTGACAAAATTAACAATAATATAGAACTATTATATGTGCTTCCCTTCCCATGTGGATATTTGAAGCTTCAAGATTCTTAATTGAGAAATAAATGGTAGAGTCTCCACATGCCTGTTAGTCACTATTATTTATATTTCTGAGAGAGAAAAGATTCTCTCAGAAACCATCTCCTGATGGTTCTCTTTTGGCTTAGATGCTTCAGACCAATTCACAATGCTAAAAGCAAATACCAAAGATGCCTACCTCACTTGAGAGAATCTGTTGCTTGCTTACTTCTAGCCCTCCTGGGAAGTAAATTTCTCCGTTAATTGTAAGAAACACTCCAAAAAGAAACAACTGCAAGAAATGTACTACACTTCTATCAACATAACATAACAACTACCACTGCACTTTACTTATCCAATTAAGCAATGAAATGCCTCTGGAATAGAATGTAGGAGAGGATAAAGGGAGAGTAAAGACATCTCTAGAAGATAACAGAAAATATGAGTCATTAAATTATTTATTTAGTAAATTTTAAAATGTTATTTTACCAAGAGAAATGGTCATTGAAAAGCTTTCAGTGCCTTAACTTTGTATTATAGCAGAACAAGATTCTCTGCACAGATTAATGATCTAAGAAGAGTCATATGAATAGCACTCTGGAAAAAAAATATAAGTGGAATCTGGAGGGGTCTTGAAAATCGTGCTTTCTAAAAGTCCCTTGCTATTAAACAAATATGATGAAAAATAAAGGGGAACATGATAGTGCCAATAAAATGTTAAATCTACATACCTTACAAAGCAAAAACAAATAAAAATCTGGAATGTGATTAATAAGAAATATACAAAACTACTTGAAACCTGCTTGATTTTATTAACCATTGTCACCCCAATAATTTTAATCAAACAAAAAGAAATGTACAAAACTGACATGAGAAAAAAAACTCCAAAAAATCATCGTTCAGAGCTTCTACAACTTTTCATATATAGCATCCAACTGTTTGGGTTGCAAATTTATATATGAATTTCTAACCCCAGGATCTCAGAATGTGATCTTATTCATATTGGGTCTTTACAGAGATAATGGAGCTAAAATGAGGTCAATAGGGCGGGCTTTAATTCAATATGACTGAGATCCTTATCAAAAGGGTAAATTTGGACACAGACACACTTGAAGGTAGAATGCCATATGAAGATTCGTAAGGAGAACACATCCATCTACAAGCCAAGGATAGAGACCTGGAGCAGACCCTTCCCTCATAATCCTCAGAAAGAACAAACTCTGCCAACACCTTGATCTTGGACTTCTAGATTCCAAAACTATGAGACGACAAATTTCTGTTGTTTAAGCCATATTGTTTGTGTTACTTTGTTATGCAGCCCTACAAAACTAAGATACCAAATTTCAATTAAAAATTACAAGAAGTGCTAAAGAACAGGCTCAAATTACAAAAAAAAAAAAATTGAAATACGATGCCACAGGTAATATGCATAATAACCATGATTAAAATGAGGGGAAAAAAAACTATTTCAGTAGAAGTGTAGAAACTCTAATAAAGAAAAAAAGAATGATATTCTAGAGCAGAGAAAAATACATTATCTACTATTAAAAAGTCAATAAAAGGGTTTAAGAAAAGATGAGACATAGCAGAAGATGTGACTGATGAACAGGAACACAGGTCAGTAGAAAATATCCAGATTGAAACAGAGAGAAAATATAAAAATAGAAAACAACAGAAAAGATATAGAAATATACGATTTAAATGACAGAGAATTCATATTGCACTTCTGAAAAACCTCAGTGAGACGCAAGAAAGTACGGATCAACAATTCACAGAGGTTAAAAGTTAAATTAAAGAACAATAGAGTTACTTTACTAAGGAGATTGAAACTCTAAAAAAGAACCAAATAAGACTTCTAGAGATGAAGAACTCACTAAAAGAGAAGAAGATTGAAATAGTAAGCCTAGAACATAGAGCTGACCACAGGGAAAAATGAATTAGTGATATCAAAGACAGAAATCTGGAAATAATGCAGAAGGAAGAAAAGAAAGACTTGAATATGAAAAAAAATTAAAGAACTCTACAAGAACTATATGACATCATCAGAAAGAGCAATATAAGAATAATGAGTATAACAGAAAGAGAAGAGAGGGAGAAGGGAAAAGAGAGCTTAGTCAAACAAATAGTTGACGAGAATTTCCAAAACCTATGGAAAGAACTGGATCTTTGAATCTAATAAGCAAACAGAATACAAAATTATCTCAACCCAAAAAGACCTCCAAGACACGTTATATTAAAATTGTCAAAAATTAATGACAAAGAAAGAATTCTCAAGACAGCTGAGGAAAAGAAGACAGTTACCTATAAAGGAAAACCCATTAGATTATCATCAGACTTTTCAGCATAAAAGTTACAAGCTAGGAGGGAGTGGAACAAAATATTCAAACTATTGAAAGAGAAAAATTACCAGCCAAAAATAATATATCCAGCAAAGTTCTCCTTTAGATATAAAGGAGAAATAAAGACCTTTTCAGACATACAAAAGCTGAGGATATTTTCCGCCACAAGGCCTGCATTACAGGAAATACTGAAGCGGGTCATTCTACCTGAAAGAAAAGGACAAAAAAACACAAAACTATGTATAAGATAACCAACAGGCAGACAGAAGCAGAAAAGTGCAACCCTTGTTAAGAACAGGGTATTATGAGCTTAAATATTATATAAAGGTTAAAAGTCAAAAAAATAAAATGCTTTAAAAAAAAGAAGACAATAGCTACTGCAACTTAGAAATGAGCATACAGCATAAGGACAGATAATGTGAGACAACAACAAACAAAGAAAAAGAAAAGGGAGGAGGGGATTAAAGATCCAAATCTGTAAAGGGGAATGGAGATAAGGCGCAAGCAGAAGAAAAAGGATTACTGTGCCTGTGTTTGTAGGTGTAGCATACTTATATCTGATGAAATAGACTTAAAGATTTAAAAATTAGGTGAAAAAGAGACAAAGAAGGACATTTCATAATGATAAAGGGAACATCAAGAAGACATAACACATCAATATATATGCTCTCAATCAGAGAGCACCAAATAAAATACAGCAACTACTAATAGAACTACAGTGAGAAACTGACAAAAACACAATTACAGTAGGGGACCTAAATACTCCTACTGATAGATAGTTCATCAAAACAGAAAATCAATAAGGAAATATCAGCCTTAAATGACACATTAGGCCAATTGGAGACAAGTGAATTTTACAGAGCTTTTCATCCTAAAACAGCTGCATATACATTTTTCTCTAGTGCATATAAGAGTATTCTCAAGGATAGATCATATTTTGGGACATAAAACTAGGCTCAACAAATTTAAGACGATTGAAATCAAACCAGACAAATTCTCTGACCATATGCTTTGGAACCAGAGATCAACTATAAAAAGAAAGCAGCAAGAACTACAAACACGTGCTACTAAAGAATGACTGGGTCATAGATGAAATAAAAGGAGAGATCAAGAGATACATAGAAAGAACTGAGAATGAAAATACAACATATCAAAATTTTTGAGGCACAGCAAAAGCAGTAATAAGAGGAAAGTTCATATCATTACAGGCCTATCTCAAAAACAAGAAAAATCCCAAATAAACAACTTAACTTTACACCTTTAAAAACTAGAAAAAGAAGAGCAAATAAAGCCCAAAGTCAGCAGAAGGAAATAATAAAAACTAGAGAATTAAAAAAAAAAATTGAGAATAAAAAAACAATAGGAAAAAATTAATGCAACAAAGAGCTGGTCCTTTGAGAAAATCAATAAAATTGGCAAATCTCTGGCTAGACTCAAGAAGGAAAAAAGAGAAAGGACACAATCAAAATCAGAAATGAAATGGAGATGTTACAACAGAATGTGCTGAAATACAAAGGATCATACAAGAATACTATGAAAAAATTATATGTCACCAAATTTAATAACCTAGAAGAAATAGACACGTTCTAAGAAATATAGAACCCACCTAGACTGAATGATGAAGAACTGTAAAATCTAAATAGACCAATCAACAGTATAGAAATTGAAACAATCACTAAAAACCTCTCGAAAAATAAAAGTTCAGGACGAGATGGCTTCACCAGTGAATTGTACCAAAGAGTCAAAGAAGATTTAATACCTAGTCTTCTCAAACTTTTCTAAAAAATTGAAGAAGTGTAAATACTTCCTAACTCTTTTTATGAGGCCAACATTACTCCGATACAAAAACCTGTTTAAGATAACACACATAAAAAAACTATAGACTAATATCTCTCATGAACACAGAAACAAAAATCCTCTATAAAATACTAGCAAATTGAATACAACACATTATAAAGATTACACACCAATATCAAGTGGACGTCATCCTTCCGGCATAGGGATGGTTTAACATACCCAAATCGATCAATGTGATACACCACATAAACAAAAGAAAAAATAATCATATGATCATATCAACAGATGCAGAAAAAGCATGTGACAAGATATAGTTTTCATTTATGATTAAAACACAATAAAATGGGTGTAGAAGGTAAGTACATCAACATAATAAAGGCTACATATGACAAATCCACAGCTAACGTCATACTTAATGAAGAAAAACTAAAAACCTTCCCTCTACGATCAGGAATAAGACAAGGCTGTGCTGTCACCACTCTTCTTCAATATAATATTGCAAGTCCTAGCTAGAGCAATCAGGCAAGAGATAGAAATAAAAGGCATCCAAATAGGGAATGAGGAAATCAAAAAATGTCACTTTTTGCAGATGTCGTGATTCTCTATATAGATAACCCTAAGGACTCCACTAAAAACTATGAGAAATAATAAACAAATATAGTAAAGTTTCAGGATAGAAAGTCAATGTTCAAAAATCCATAGCATTCCTATATGCTAACAATGAATTTTCA